GATAGGAGACTTTAAAAACTTTTATGTAGGTCACAAATTACCTTCCATGAGGTCTCTATAAATCTGCACTCTCACCAAAATGAGTGAGAATGCCTAGTTCCACACTTTCTCTTACACAGTATACTATCAAACCTTTTGATGTTTGAAATTTTGGTAGATAAAATATAGCTCAGTGTAATTTTAGTTTTTTATTTCTCTTATTATGAGCTTGATTTTACATCCTCCCCTATGTGTAAGAGACATTTGCTTCTACTGTCAGGTATAACTACTTAGAACAAATAAAAAAGAAATATTTAAAAAATTTTAAAAAGAGCCATTTGTATTTTTTAGGAATTATACAATGATATCTTCTGTTCAAAATGGTATTTTTCATATTGGTGCTTGGTGTGTTTATTTATTATTTTTGCAAGAATTTTTTTAAAAATAATTTTTAGTTGTACATGAATGCAGGATTTTTATTTTATTTACTTTTATGTGGTGCTGAGGATTGAACCAAGTGCCTCACACGTGGAGGCAAGCACTTTACTGCTGAGCCACACCCCAGACACCAAGAATTTTTTATACAAGGAAAAATTAGCCCTTTTTCTTTGATATGAGTTACAATTATTTTTTCCAGCTTGCCATTTATATTTTCCTGTGGTGATTCAGTATGCAAAGTAATTCTATATATTCTCTATTGATATTTTTGTTAGTGCCCTCTAAATTTTGTGGTATAGTTTGACTTTCCCCACTTCATGTTCCATGGGTGCTGCAGATTTTATTGTTGCTATAATATTTTCATTATTTTGTAACTATTCATTACTTTTAAAATTTTAAAATATTGATAACATTTGCATTATTTTGTAAATATGAAGTACATTTAGAACCTGTCTTAACATAACAAAATATGTTTTCAACTTTACATCATTAAGATGATCACCTGATTGTCCCAATCCCATTCATTGAATAACCCCTCCCTTATTACTACTTTGACATACAGTCTTTATTATGTACTAAATTATCATACGCACTCATGACTTACTTGGAGATTTTTGTTCCGTTGACTAGTTTTTCCTGTACATGGCTCAGTACTACACTGTCGAACTTATTCAGACATTATTCAATGTCGTCATTGCCTTCGTTGCTCTCCTTTTTTAGAAGTAGTTGAGGTTCATTTTCTGTTATTTCCTTTACCTGTTAGTTTTTGCTTCCAAAAACACTGTTGATGATTTTTACAAATTGTGTTGCCCACCACCTGTCTCAACTGTCTCCTTGTCTGTATGGGTGTTTCAGTTGATGTGTGGGGTGTTCAGGAGTCCCATGTCCTCCCCTGCCATTCTCTCTACACCTGTTTCACTAGGCCTCAGGCCACTCTTCCTCTGCAACCACATTAACAAGATCAGCAACCACTCCACATTGCTTAGGCAAGGGTCAACTTCACAGCCTCTCAGATACTACTGACACTGATTTTGGAACTCCACATTCTCCAGTCCTCCTTCCCCAATAGCTGTTCCTTTTCAGTCTATTTTGCTGAATCCAACTTTTCTCAGGACTTCTAACAAATGGAGACTCCAATGGTAGATACTAAGAACAAGCTCCAAAGGCCATGCATAGTCTTTTTGTAGTTCCGGGGGTACTGGGGATTGAACTCAGGGGCACTCAATCATTGAGTCACATCCCCAGCCTTATTTTGTATTTTATTTAGAGACAGGTTCTCACTGAGTTGCTTAGCATCTCACTTTTGCTGAGGCTGGCTTTGAAGGTGCGATCTTCCTGTCTCAGCCTCCTGACCCGCTGGGATTACATACAGGCTTTGCAACCACATACTAATGAAAAACTTAGTACTCCTTGAACAAAATAAAGTCATTAACAGGGGCTGGAGATGTGGTTCAGTGATAGAGTGCTTCCTAGCATGCATGAAGCCCTGAGTTGGATCCCCACCAACACAAAATAGGAAATAAGCAAACAAACAAGGTCACTAATAAAAAGAGTTTTGGAAGCAAAAAAACTTAGTTAGTATATAATAAAATAAGATCAACTTGGCATTTTCCACATGATAGCTCTTAAAAATATGTGAAAACAAAAAAAAAAAAAGTGTTTCCGTATATTCAAGCGTAAGGATAAAGGGTGACAATATAAATCATAAATTCTTGAGTAAACAAGTACTTTCTTCTTTGGATTAAACTCTGATATATTTTTAGGTTACAAATTCTAAGAAGTCAAATGATGTTGAGTTAGGAATTTAGGATAGAGAGATATATACCAAATTTTAAAGGAAATGCCAATGAGCCATTGAGATGCAGAAAGGAGAGGTGTACACCTTGAGCAACTTGCCCTTGGCCTGCTCCCTTGTAAAATGAAGGAAATACACAAGTACTGGGAAAAGTGGTGCAAAATTATGCAGCTCCACCTTGGCTCTATCTCCAGACTGGTCCCTTCCCAACCCAAGCACGGACTTCTCCCTCCTGAGATAGCCCACATTCTCCCTTGAGTGTGCACCTACTTCCTAAGTAAACCTGTCTATGCCTTTGTCTGTGGCTCAGTCTGAAATGCTATTCCCTTATGCATGCCACGATCCCCACTGGTCCTGAGTTGAATTTCCCCTTCCTTCTGGGAACTTCTCAGACCCTACTCTGGAGACACCTCTTCTCCCATGACAATGTGATCCATTACAAATTGGTGAATGAATTTCTGTACCCAAGTTTCATTCCTGTGTATTATTTTTAGTAATAATATCCTGATTAGGAAGTTTTACATATCTACAGAAGATTGAAAAGCTTACCTTACTTGGATATAAAAGTCATTCTTTCTCTTATCCTTCTTTTGCTACTGCCCTACTGCTTCCAAATCTACTTAAATACCGCAACAAATAATCTACTTATGCACATCCACATATCAGCATTACACTCCTTTTAAAAAAACTTTTTTCTTTGTACATGGACATAAAACTTTTATTTTATTTATTGATCTTTATGTAGTGGTGAGGATCAAAATCAGTGCCTTACATGTGCTCGGCAATCGCTCTACAACTGAGCTACAGTGCTGTCCTGAGCATTACTGTCTTTTGACAATTTTTAACACCTTCAAACTTGACCCTCCCTGAACCCTAAGTTAAAATACTTGAGACTGCTCTCACCAGCCAATCTGGTGTCAATATCCATACCGTCATGTTGATCTTGCCCATGTCTTATTCTGAAATAAATCCACCCTCAAATATCCCAAATCTCCTTTACCTCCATGTCTACTAGTGCTTTCAGATTAGAACTATATGAGAAAGTTCTCTTGGGATTTACTATAGCAACAGCTTCCCTACTAATTAAGTTAACAACTAATTTAATGACTTTAGCTTATAAATATCACTTTCTCATCAATCTCCTACCCTTAAGAGTCTTCCTTCATTCCACTTTCAAAGCAAAAATGGAGACCAGTAATCAATTTGTTTACTGTGAGCCCCATATCCACATTTCCTTGACTGTCTGTGGTCCTGGAGCTGGACCCTCTAAACACCTCACTCTCGCCAGCTGTGCAGGATGCTAATCTCTGTCAGTAGAGGGCAATGGAGGAATAGGGGGAAATGAAGACCTGTCTTCCTTGTGCCCTGTTTTGGCTTCCCAGGCTCCTGTGAGGTTCCTCCCCTGCCACACCCAGTGACACTCAGCCCAGGGAGTTTTAGTGAAACCTGAAGGACGTGGTTGTTTCAACAATTTCTGTGGCACCTCAGTTAGATTTTCAGTGTGTTCAACAGCACCCCACTTCTGCTAGCCTGAGCTGCCATAACAAGGTACCACAGGTGGCTTCCACACAGATATTTATTTTTCAAAATTCTGAACACCAGGATGTTCTAGATGAAGGTACACGCTAATTGAGCACCTGGTGACTGTGCTCTTCCTGGCTTACAAACATGTACCTCCTTACTGTGACCTTGTGGGTTTCAGAGAGAGAGAAGATCTTTGTTGTCTTCACTCATAAGGACTATCAGTTCAGGTCCAAATACAGACACTCTGGGAAAAAGGCTTCAGCACATGAAGTGGAGAACATACAACTCATTCCAGAAATCCATCCCTTCCACAGCTGACTTCCCAGAGAGATCAGTAGCATGCTTTCTGCTACTCCCATGAGAACAGCTTCTGAGCAGGTTTATAGCTCCCTCACCCCACATTCCCAGTGAGCACAGTGGCTCCTGGACAGCATGCTATCAAGTTCCATTGCTATCTCTATAGAGTTCCTGTTTCTCAGCTTTGACTGTGACACCCAACAAACATTCTCTCCATGTAATGGGCTATAGATTTGCCTAGGACAACCAAATGTCTGCCTCTAGGGAGGATCATACAAAGTTTATACCCTCCTGATTTATTATCCATAGTGGAAACTATTCTTGATAATTAAGCATTCCTTGTATTAAAATTTCCCATTTCAACTCTCTGCCTGGTTTGTCTTCTACACGACCTGACTGATAAGGAGATATTTTCCACCATGACTGTTCTTCACAAATACAACACCACAAATGGTGTGCACTTACATCTTCATTTAGGCTTGAAATAAGGCAATAGAAATAGAGTGGGAGACACTGCTCTGAAGGTATTTCTTGGATAGAATGAACAGAAATTGGTGAATAATTGGCTTTGCAGATGTTGCTAAAAACTAAGCAGAAAACCAAGATGGTGGTATCTGGGGCAGGATAACAGAGCCAGCCTTCCCATAGCCATGCCCCATGTCTCCAAAGGCAGACCCACTGAGGACTAAAGCCCTGGGGGCAGAGAAGGTGACAGGACACAGTTGTCAGGAGTGGGGTGGTCAGGACATGGAAAGGCCTGGAAATAGCAACAGCTAACCACGGGGGCCTGAACAAGTGAGAGAGTCTGATTCTGAGAAGCCTCAGTGCCAGTATCTGTCTGTGTTGTGTAACCACTGAAATCACATCCCCTACACCCTGAGGTCCAGGCTGGATCTTCTTGGTGTTTATTGTTCACCACTTTGTACCAAACATCCCACTCTCAAAGCAAAACATAACACCCACTTGCTAGAATTTCCATTTCTTAAGTATTTATTGAACAATGACTGTGGGCCATCCACATATTTATGTGGACACAGGATGCAGTGATTTCATATCCCAAACTTTGGGGACTCACAGCCAGTCTCCTGATACAAAATGAAGATGAAGTTCAGTATTTATCAGGAAGCCCTTTAGGTCTGTAAATAATAGGATCTTCTCCTCTCCTGTTCGCTCTGTTGTCTTCCTGGTCTTCCTCTGAGTCCTCAAGTCCAGGGCCAAAAAATCTCAGAATGTTATTTCTGGCATCACTGATCAAGCAAGGCAGCAAGGAGATTCCTCAGCAGGCTGTTAAACCTCAGGCTACCCTCCTAATTCTATGCTGTCCAGGGGATGGATCTGAGGGGAGCCCAGGAAGATCAAGGAAGAGGGGCTGAGATACCACCCTTGCCTGGCACAGCCCTACCCAGCCTGGCTCCTCACCCTGAACCTGGATGAACAGCACCAGGGAGGGAGGGTTAGGGATCACTCTGTGGCCCTCCCTTTCTCTAGTTCTGAGTTGGCACACATAACCTCAGCCATCTCTGGCTCTGTCAATGGCCCAGGCCCTGCACTGACCATGGTGGAGGGTTAGGCAGAGAGGACATGAGGAAGACAAGCCTCACAGAAACCTGCTGCCAGGCTCATTCCCTCCTAATCCCCAGCCAAGCTCTGCTCACCCAGGCCTGGCATCCCCAGGAACCTGCCTTACCTGATCATTTCAGCAGCCCAGGCACCCCCAGGTCCCCTTCGGGCAGCATCATATTTCCCTCGGGCATAGAAGTATCTTTGTGAACCTATGAAATTTGCTTCATTCAAGTCCCAGATAGCTCTCCACATATCCCAACTTCCTGAATTGGAAAAGAAAAGACAAAAGGGATATCAAGTATACATAAAGATCATGACAACACCTTCAAAGGATATCCAGGAATTAATATATTCAAAATTTCATCTGTGATTTTTGCACCCATAGATATCATGAGTTGAGTGGAATCGTCTCTATTCCTACCTGGCTTCTGCAAGTCACTCTAGTGAGAGTTGTTAGGGGTCACACCTGTTTGTCTTTGGTGGTCCACTGTGCTGAGGTGAGTTTCACCATACTTAGATGTGCTATGTTTAAGGACAGAAGGGAGGTGTCATTGTCAAACAGGATTCCTCACCTTCAGCACTGTTGATAAAATTGGGTCACGTGGTTCTCTGTTGTTCAGGGCTGCCCTGAGTCCTGTAGGATGTTCACCAGCGCTCTGGTCTGCCACTAGATGTTGGCAGCATATTCGCCCAGTGGGACAACCAAAGACATTGCCACACATTGAAAATGTCCCCTGGGCCAGCACATTACACCAGGTCCAGAACCACTGTTCCAGAATGAAGCTCCATGTGATTAGAAATTGCAGTGAGGGAGGGGGCATCCAGGAGGGGAAAGCCTGAGTGGGCTGCAGACATGAGGCACTTCTGCCCTGACTCCCAAGGAAAATGTATTTCTGTACCCTAAATGCACATCACTGTGACATGAGTGCCTCTGGGCAAGATCAGTGAAGTGCACTGATGCTGTGGTTGCTTGAGGAAACCCTAGTGTAATGGTTCTCAGCTGGGTTGGCCTGTTTTGATCACCTGGGGAGATACTGAAAGTCCTGACACCCAGAACACAACCCTGCCCAATTCCTCAGACTATATGAGGAGAAAGAAAATCCAAGCATCCACAGGGTTTAAACTCCAGATGATTTCACGTGTGCCTGACAATGTGGACAATGGAATTTTAGGAAGTGGTGAGCAGACACATCAACTGGGCTAAATTGGCTTCATATATAGCTCATTGGAAACGTCTGCTCTGCCACCTGCTTTTTTCAGTCCCTTTAAAGAAATGCTCCTCAGTATACCTGGGGCATCCTGCCACACAGGTAGCACAACATAAGACTGGCTCCAGTCCTTCAAAGTGCACCATGTGAACTCTAGAGCCATCTCTCCACCACGCTTACCTAGAGCAGCTTCCTTCATGAATGAAAAAACCCCACCGCTGACTGCCAGGACCAAAGAGCAAAACACCAGGCCTGTGAGAAGCCTCATGTTACTGAAATGAAAGAGAGGCATAATCAGACACATATGAGACTGGCACCTTTCCCTTTGACATTTATATCCTAAGAGAGCCTGGTTGTTCATTTCTACTGGTTCTCATTATAGTCCTAGTAGTTCCTCTAGGAAATCTGGCAATAGGAACTCACTTGGTACCAAAAGCCTTCATTCTGACCCCATCAGCCCTGAATCCAAGTCTGTCTGAGAGAATAGCATGGTGGCTCCAACAGAGGATAGGGGAGTTGGGACCAGATTTCCACTCTAGAGGAGGCTATAATGCATTCTCCATGGGTCCCCTAAACCCAATCCACACCACACATGAGATAAATAAATAAATAAAAACGTAAGGGATCATTCCGTTCAAAGAAAATCACATCCTGATAGGAAAGAGAAAATAGAGTAAGGGTTTAAAAACTCACTCCTTGCACTTGACAATCACCTGATGTCTGGTGGAGTGGATCTGCTGGTCGCTGAAGGACAGGGAGAGAAGGCTGCTATTTATCCTGAGCCTTCCCCTCTGGGGTCATGGGCAGGGAGGGAGAGCCAACCTGCATTCCTGGAAAGTCTCTTCAGGTCATTTCCTATAAAAATCTGCAATAGAAATCTTACTGGACTCTAGGTGTTCTTCATCCGTGGGTCATTTTCCTCAGTTGTGCAATTTGAAGACACAACAGAGCTTTGCTCTGCATTTGGCAGCACCATGAGTCAGGTGAGCAGCTTAGCTCTGAGAGAGAAGAGGTAATGGAGATGAGGCGATGGAGGGGCAGGGAAAGAGCACTAAGATGGTGCCCCAGTGTGCTGTGAGGTGAGGAGCAAGAGGGGCTCCTGCAGCCAGGATCTTGCTTTCCAAGTCACTGACTCAGGAAGGGGCCTGCTGGGCCAGAGGGCAGATGCTTCAACAGTTAAGTCCTGCTGGGTTTCTATTTAAAGTCTATGAGCTACAAAACTGGCATGCTAGCCCCACACACCTCAGGTGTATCTAAGCTCTCACCTCTAAGGCATAGAAAATGCCTGCTCAGCTGATTTAGCGAATTAGAAAATGTAAATCCTAGAGACCCACATAGTGGGAGGAAAGCTTCTGGGTGTAAGGAGCTAAAGTGTAATTTAAGAAGCTTATAATAACTCATTGTGGAGGTAAAATCTGCAGTGGGAAAATGGAAGCCCAATTGTAGAAGGGTTAAGCATCCAGGCAGGTGAAAGTTGGGGAGAACACTTTGAGCTATATTACCCTGTGGGTTTTGCAGGGTGGGAGTGTCACTATCTGGCCTCTTTCACTGTGAATCTCAGCCTAGTAAGCCCTGCTCTGCAGGAGCTGGTGCTGGAAATGAGTTCCAGGGCTCCCACAAGAGTTCAGCAGGGCTAAGGCATGTATGCATGTGAACAGTCACCAGCTCTCAAGAGAAAACCTCTCATTACTTACCTTACCCGAAAACATTCTAGAAAGAGAATTCTGAGCACCGTAGTTCAGCCTAAATAAAGGAATATCATTTGCAAAACTCTCTAAAGTTGGGTTAAAGAGAAAGGCTGATTCTGTGCCTGAAACCAAATGAAATTGATTGTTACCCCTTCCCTTTGCTGGATGCTACTTGGAGCAGCAAGGGCTACTCGTTCACTCAAACCTTCTGCTTCTTTAGTCATCAGTTATATTCTTATTTTTTACTCATAAAAAGTTTTACAGACTCTTACACTCTTTTTAAAAATGTTTTTGTGTGTTATAGTTACACATAATAGTTGGATTCATTTTGACCTAATCATACATGAATGGAATTTAATTTGCTCCATTTCAGTCCCCAGTGCCTCCTGGTTCCTCCCTTTCTCTACTTCATTAGTCTTTCTTCTATTTATTTTTTTTAATTGGTGCTTTATAGATACCCATAAGATGGAATTCTCTGTAAATTTTTTAAAAAATATGTTTGTTGTACATGTACACAATACCTTTATTTTGTTTACATAGTTTTATGTGGTGCTGGGAATAGAACCCAGGGGCCCACACATGCTTGGAAAGTGCTCTACCACTGAGCTACAACCCCAGCACCTCTCTGTGAATAATTTTGTCAAATTAATTCTGCATTTTCTTCCCTTCCCATTTCTCTTCCCTCCCCCCTCAATATCCTTCCTGTACTCCACTGATCTTCCCTCTATCCTCCTGAGATCTGATCTCCCTCCTTTGTTCCCTTACTTTCCTCTAGCATCTCCATATGAGAGAAAACATTAGACTTTAGATTTTCTGAATCTGTCTTATTTCCCTTTCCATGATGATCTCTAGGTCCATTCACCCATTTACTGGCAAATGTCTTGTTTTCATTCTTTTTTATTGTTGAGTAAAACTCTAATGTGTCTATATAGCACATTTTCTTAATTTCTTCTAGACACTCACATTCTTAATTGAATAATATATATAGCATATGAAAAAAGAGAGATATGTCAAGCTTTTCTTTTTACTTTACATCTTATATGTATCAAATTCCAAGACCTGAGTGACAGCCATCCCTATTTGACCCTGGAAAGTCTATCCATGGGCCAGTGTGGTGATACATGCCTATAATCCCAGTGACTTGGCAGGCTGAGGTAGGAGAAATTGGAAGTTCAAAGCCAGCCTTAGCAACCAATGAAGGCCTAAGCAACTTAGCAAGATCCTGTCTCAGAGCTAGATGATGCTTTTTGGAACACACTTTGGAACACACTCTTGTAAAATGAACATCTGTTTCTAATGCACTTACTTTCAATTACCCAGGTTCTGACAATGTAAGATTGTGTTTGTGATTACATAGTTGAATGGATTACAATATTTATGTATTAATTACACCAGAAGGATCGGCTAGGGAGTTTTGTTGCTGTTTTTTGTGATGCTAGGGATTGAACCCAGGGCCTCATACATGTTAGGTAAGAAATCTACCACTGAGCCATATCCCCAGCCCTGGTGGGTGTTTTAAGAAAACAAATTCCTGGGCCAGAATGTTGGAGGTGCTGGTCAGCAACTTTGAATGGTCTTCAATAGTATCTGTGTTTGAAATTTTCCCTGTTTTATAGGTAACTTGTACAGAGAACATTGCTTTATTGGGAAAGAGAGTGATAAATAATGTGGCACAGACTCAAAATAGCACAGGCCAAAGAGGATCTGTGGGAGATGGGGAGGTAAAGAACGGAGAAATAGCAGTGGGACCAAAAGGACATAGATCCTACTGTTCAACTTTAAAAGGAACTGCAAGAGGAGCACCCCATGGGTGAAGATGAACATAAAGTGTGATCCACAGAGATAGGGTGGTTTTAGGTTGTTGCAATGGTGAATGAAGTAGGCAGAACAGTCTTCTGGCTGCAGCTCACCAGAAGGAAAAAGGGGAAGGGAAGGATGCAGATTGACCCAGAGAGAAACTATTTTTGTGCAGGGAAAGCAGGTCAGGCCGGGAGAGATAAAGGCAACAGTGGCTTAGCACATGGGCCAGCAACAGAAGATGGGATTCTTTCTTGCTCTGGTGCTGAGTGTGGGGTGCTGTGCAAAGGAGGGCAGATTCTTAGGAGCCAGCAGAAGGTCCTCCCCAGAGGCCCACATGGACTGCACAATGAAGCCCTGGGGATGCCCTCCAAATCTCCTCCCAGAGGGGCTAATACTACTATTCACAGAAGTTCTGGACAGATGGAGGGCACTGGGAGGAGGGTAGATAAATCATGGTGAGTGAAAGGTAGATAAGAGCTAAGGTTCCAACATGTGTGCAACAGGAAGCATCTATGAGTAGGAAGTTTGCTCTTAGAGCTGAGCACAGCCTACAAATGTGGATGCAATAGGTCTCCTAGGCCAGGTCTGCTTTTTGAGACCTAGACAGAGGAGTCTCCCCCGAGGAAGGGGTGCTCCGTTTTTCTGTGAACTCATGGAGTCACAAACACTTTGTTCCTCTGTCATATAGGCACATGTCCTAGGAATGACTTTCTGTTACTCATAAAGATGAATGAGCTGAGCTCTGGGGCATATGCCTGAAATCACAGAGCCTCAGGAGGCTGAAGCAGGAGCATCACAAATAAGCGGTCAACCTAGGCAACTCATTGAGAACCTCTCTGTAAATAAAAAGGTCTGGGGGGATACCTCAGAGGCAGAATGCCCTTGGGTTCAATCCCCTCTAACATAATAAAAAAATACAGCTAAAGATGAATCTGCCTGTAAACCCTTTCTGAAGGGAAGCTTTAGAGCATCTAAGTGACTCTTTCAGGGACCAGCACCCAGGACACATTCCGCCCTGTGGCTTATGCTCTTCCTACTCTAGTTCTTTGCCTCCAGAACATCCCAAATGTTCCTTTCTTGGAATTTGTAAACCCCTTGACAAGAGGAGGGGTGGATTATGGTAAATCCCAGGTTGAGTGGTTTGGATTGGAAGAATGCCATAGGGCACAGCAATATCAGCTCTGGCAGCCAACACCTGAACATTGTCCCCTTGCTGTCTTGCCATGCTTCTACCACAAAGTTCCATTACTAAACACCCCAATACCTTTCCAGTAGAGGCTGTGCCACTGGGTTCCCTCCTAGCAAAGATCCTCAAATCCAGCCACCTGGACTTGGAAACAGCTTGGTGTTGAAGTGAAGAGCCAAGTCTTGGGCTCAGACAGACCCAGTGTGACTTCTGCTCTGCCATACTGATGTGGGGGCGGGGGTTTCCGCGTCCTCGAGAAGTGCAGATGATATCTGGTCAAAGACATGATTCTTTAGCTAGGAAGCTGGACATCAAATGGTGTCTATGTTTCGAGGTAGTGGGAAGCGCTCATGTTACTCTGGGTCTTCAGAATTTCACAAGTTCAATCATGCATCACTTAAAGGCAGGGATATGTTCTGACTGATGCATGAAGCTATCATGCTGTTGAATGGACATCTTCGAGTGAAGGTCAGTCAGTCCATGTGGCCTCTTGACTCCATCAGGACACACAGTGGATACAAATGTATGAGACTGCTGCTGGCAGCACAGGGCATAGTGTTCTACAGCAAGGCTTTCTTTTACTAAGAAGAAGTCATAGTGTAGACTAGGAAATACCAATAAAATGTGGGGTAGAGTCAGGCTTGGTGGCTCATGCCTGTCATCCCAGTGACTTAGGAGGCTGAGGCAGCAGGATCACAAGTTCAAGGCCAAGGTCAGCAACTTAGTGAGAAGTCTTAAGAAACTTAGAGAGACTCTGTCTCAAAATTAAAAGAAAAAAAAAAAAACGTCTGGTTGGTAGCTCTGTGGTTAATTGCCCTTGGGTTCTAATTTCATCCTCAGTACCCCCCCCCCATAATAGTGTGACATAGTAAATACATAAACAGTAACATAGTCATTTATTATCATCATCTACTATTATATGCATACAGAACTTTTGGTGTAATACTTTTATGTAACTGGCAGTGTTGTAGGTTTGTTTAGAACAGCATTACACAAACATGTGACTAATAACCTGGAGTACAGTGTTATTGTGGTTATCACATTGCTAGGTGGTAAGAGTTTTTCACTTCTATTATTCTAT